GCTCTGTACAGGACATCCAGACTTAAAACTGTGACATGTAACGTCTCAGAGAAATCACTAAAACATAATGTCCTCTACAGTGGACAAAACTCCATAGCTGGTAGTCAGGAGGATATAGAATATTGTCAAATCATAAAATTAAACCAAAAATTCTCCCAATTTTTTTTTTGATAAATAAGAGATTACTTAATTTGAGTGTATTGATCATTTGGTAACAACAACTATATTTTTATTTAATAAAAAAGAAGAGTTTGTCCATGTCCCTTGAATGGTTGTCCACCCTGTCCTAATGGGGAATCGCCCCTTTAAGAAAAGGCCATCCCCTTTAGTGACATCAGGACAACAGATTTTTTTGTCTCTTCAGTGGCGGGAATTTCAACGGTTGAAGTGAGCAAGTTGCTGACTTTTCAGTTGACAAATTTTCTTCGTATGAGTTTGCTTATTTGCTTTGCCAAAGCTTAACATGTCCACCCTGTCGGCATAAAATATGCCAGAAGTGTACGTTTAAATATACCAAATTCAGGGGGGGGTGTTCAGATACAAGTGCATTCATTATACAGATGTACAATAAAAAAATATGCAGTGTATTGCTGTACCACACAGTGATGTCAAAAGTGAGGACAGTTTGTATTATGCTATGGCAGAAATTCTTTGGGCTTCTTCAAGGACATGAGAAAGATCTGAAAGGAACCTGAAGTAGAATGTCTTGCTGTATTTTTTTTACCACCCAAAATGTGTCAAGAAATCTAGTATCTTAGAAATACATGGGAAGAATCAGTAACAAGAATCTTAACAAGGTTGACTAACCATCCAAATGCTACCACAATATGCAGTGCCAGAGATGTGCTTCATCGACTAACCTGCTTGAGCAGTTGCATGTCAAACTGTCGTGGGTAAAGGTTCTTGGAACACTATCACAAAATTACAACATTACTAAAGGTTTCCCTGGAGGAAGTGACAAGCAGTGATCATAACAGGAAGGCTCAGAAATTCTAACGAAGTAACAATAGCGTTGAGACATGTCCAATCAGTCCTCACACACACCCACAAAAAATTCACATACACTTTTGTATGTGGGTGAGACGGCCGATGACTTCAGAAGTTTTCTATGAAGGTTTAGAGGCCACTGCTGGAAGTTTATGGTAAAAGGGGACAGGACCTCTAGATATATAAGATGGAGATTCGGGAATATTTGCAGAAGTCTTGGCACAGAGGAAGACCCAGAGTATCCAACTCTAAAACCCCGCCTGCGAAGACCTTTGACAAACCAACAAAGAAGATACAAGTAAGTCTTTATAAGATTAAGTACATTACTGAATTAGTTTGTTTTCTACTTTCTGTTAATGAGCAAGCATGATATGTTTTGTTTTACAGTGCGTTCTATGAGTTTCGCCCTTCTACTGCTGCTGTGTGTGAGATCTGGTAGATTTGCACCATATGGGAACCACACTTTGGATAAAAGGAGTCTAGAAACCTGCAAAAATATAAGGCTGCAGGCTGAAAGGATAATAGAAATGTTAATCAATGAAAATGTAAGTGCGTTTGTGTCATAAATATTAATTCAATTTTTGAGTATTGTGAGGGTTGAAAGGCACTCTATGGTGATATTGACCCATAAATATTGTTCCT